AGCCAAGCCATCCTGTCACACATACTCTTTCTATTACAGAGGTTCCACTTGTAAAAAACCACTCCTGTCTATTTCTGTGCTTTTTAACATTTTATCCTCTTACTAGGATGAGGGTCAACAGAACTCACAAGTAAAACACTATTATTTGTTTCACTAGCAAACTAGTACTTTACTGGAGACATATACTGTATCAGACTGTGATAGTGCAGGCTTCATATGTAACCTGAGTCCAATTTAAAATTCTGAAAGCAGCTCAGTTGGACTCAGTAATCTTAAAATCATTTATGTGCACTGTTTTCTGTGCAGCATACATTATTTTTTTTTTCCAATCTAAATGGTTATGTGATTCTATTACGCATTTCTGCTACAACAGGTTCAATGTATTACTTAGTTTCTCTTCCAGCTTCTGAGGCAAACCCTACACGTTCCAAATTTCTCTCACATGTTACCAAATAGCACAAGAGCATTCACCTCCGGAAGTTCAGCAGTGCTTTTGCTTCCCCCAGGCCTGCTGTGTAACTTTTTTCCTTACTCATTCACCAGTCTCATCATCATCAAGCTGCAGCTGAGGGACAGATGATAGAATGGATATAATTTGAGGCCTAGTAAACTGCCTCTAATCCCACCTTTTCCTCTTGTTACTCATTTTTGTATGGTGCCTGAAATGCAGCCAGTCACCAGTACTAGCTACTTCAGAGATTAGTAGTCAAGTTCCTAATTCTTTCTTCAGTTTGTTCCTTTCTGCAGCCCTAAGGATCCTCCCACAAAACCATTACAGCTAGACAAGCAAAGCAGACTGATAGACAGGACATGCAGAGGAGCACATGTAGAGGGTCTTAGTCACTGGGACCTCTTTCTGGAGAGTGAGTCCAACATGGGAAGTTGTGCTGTATAGATTGGGTCCAGCAGTGCAGACATCCTTGATGTAGTGGCAAGACTGCAAATGGCAAATTGTCAACCTACTGCTTCAGAGGTCCTTTATGATGGAGAAGTTTTCCAGAGATTAGTCTGATGTCTGTTAATTTTCATACCTCTCAGAAAACCAGGTCAATAAAAGAAGGAATGATTTAGTGTCTAGGAATGGAGAAGGGTGTTAATTAACATTTTATCAAGTATAATTCTACCATAGGAAGAATATATAGAAGTATTTTTGTTATTATCTTAAATTAATCAACACATAATATAAATTCTCTGCACCACTGAAGCTTCTAGTCTTTCCGTGGCTTCAGTACTTGAGCAACATCTCATGTCTCTCATTCTCAATCAAGAGAATCTGCACTTTCTGATAGGAAACACCAGCAAAATGGCAGAGCTTGAAGAGAAATCCCCCCCGCATGACAGAATGAGAAAGGCTTCTAGAAGCTGCTTATTAAATTCTACTTTTTTTAAATATTGTTGGTCTTGGATATGACTTAGTGTTAGAGGTATAATTGCATGCATTCTCAGCAAGGAAACTGAATTGCTTAAGTGAACGCTTCCTCCAGAGTTTTCTTCTTTGGCAATAAGATGGCTTAATGTAGTTTCAGTTTGGATGAAGCTGTTAATAGGCCGCATTCTTCAGCAGCATCTATTACTGTAGTAAGTTACTAACATATACTGTGTATGTATTTTATATGGGTACATTGCTATGTATTTGAAGTCAGTGAGCTTAAACCGTGCAGCACAATTAGAGGAATGAACCTCACATTGCTTTGTCAAAACATTATTTAATTTCTGGATTTTAGAATTACTGGATTAGAATGGGATGCCTAGAAATCTTAAATCAGAGCATCTAGTAAAGTAATGCTTCTCATGAATCAGTGGTACAGTGTATCTATAAACCACACAGACTATAAGTTGCTGTAGTAATTGTTCAAAGGTGTTTCAATGCTAGGATACTGTTTTCTCTGACCTCCCCTTTTTTCTAACACATTTTTTAATTTTAAGGAATTTAGTAACTTTTTGTCATTATAATAAACTGGCAACTGTAGTCACTCTGAGCTTGGTGTGTGAATCACTAAACTTCCTTCCCCATACGTTACTAGAGGAATCCTGACACTGACCAGACGTTGCATGGAATTCACCTTGCAGTGTATGTTTTTTAGTTACATTATGATCACCGAGTACAGCTACAATTTAGTGGCTGTCTCACAAGATGTATTTTGTTGTCAAAGAATTCTGCCTTGGTTAAACAGTGTCTCTGAGTCCCAGAAAACACGGTGGACTACAGGCCCTTCTCTTTTTCTCTGTGTAGCAGATTCACTGGCAGGTAAGAGTTCGCACATGGCACACAGAAAGTTGTTCTGTCATTCTGTTGTGTCTCACTTCCACAGGAGACTTAGTACTTCAATCCTAGAAGTTTCTGTGAAAAAGATTTCTCTCGCTTCTGTCCTGCTCTTGCTTGGTCCAGCATATTGTATACCACACATATAGCAATGGAACACATGAGAAAGACTTTCTATATAGTGTATGTATCTATGTATATGAGTAGAGAAGTGATGGCACAATGATAAATATACTATCAAACAGGGAAACTTTGGGACCTGGTTCAAATCCCTCTGCAGAAAAATGCTATGAACTTTGTCATGTCAGTATTTGAGCAGAAATGTTTAGTAAATTCTGCCGGGGATTCTGAACCTATAGGTTTAGAGTCCAGATGTTTCAAATGGGATGGTTAATGTAATAGTACTATGTTACTCCTTCCTGACATGGTTTTGTAAGTATTAGGAAGATGACATTTAATTAGTGTATTAAAGAGTTTCAAAATTATTAATACTCTGTCATCAAGTTTTGTAAAGCAAACAGGAGTTCTGTTCACAAGCAATATGGAGACAGCTGTGCTAGCCATATTCCCAAGCCATTAACAGAATAGTTGTCAGCACTTCAAAGTACCATATTCCCATATCATTTAGTATTTGCACTGCTAAAATGACAGCATCCAAAACAAAAACTAAAATGCTGAAGCACTGCAATTTGATGAAGATCATGACTGTCTGTACAGAAAGATCATTATGGGAAGGTGCAAATCATATTTTTGTTTTCTGGGGTATAGAAAATCAAGCTGCTTTGGTATAAATTTGGCATCTTTTAAAATCAAATGGTATTTTTGTCACTGATTTCCACAGGGCCAGAACTGTGCATTTTGGGCCTGACAGTCTTGTCAGGATTTAACATACCTGAACTAGCAGAACTATACATAGTGATAGCTTTCATGTTTTCAAACTGAAACTGTAGGAATAGAAAAATAACAGCTTGTCATTTCCTTCTTTGTTGGCAGAGCTTTATCAAAAATACTTTTTTTCACTAAATTCCCAGTATTTAAAAAATTTCTGCCTGAAGTAGGGCAGAACTCTCCAACTTCCTTAAACGTAGCTAGCTGTGTGTCTCTTTAACCCAGGGGCTGATACAAAATGATGATACTGTTGGGTAGCATAAAATAAGGAAATGAATAGCTTAACAGATGTTCAATGGGATACTTGTTTTTCCTCTTTTGTGAGTGCCTGCTCACTACTGTTGAACAGAAAGTATCTGCAAATGCTCCTTGGATGCCTAAACTGAAAAGTCAGTCTGACTAAGTCTTGTCTAAAGAGTCACAGCAGGTGAGTCTCCATCACTGACAAGAAAGGGAGCTCTAATGTAGGACAGGCTTTTTGCCAGCATGGCTGCTCAACCTGCTAGCAGGGATTGCAATCTTCAGGTTGTTTTCCCTCATTTTACACCAGTGTAACTATACTGTCTTTAAAGAGTATAATGGGTACCAATTTAAGCCTGATCAGAGTACAGTCTTCCTTTAACTACATAACCCCCTAAACCACTTATTTCTGTGAGACATCACAGCAAAACTCTTACACAAAAAGCTAGAACACGTAGCCTGTAAATAGGATCAGAATTGGATATTAATTAGTTCCCACCCCCATCAGCCTGTGCCCTTAAGTAGAACTATAAACCAGAGGCCTTGAAATCAGGAGAAATCTCTGGCCTGTTCTGAATTGCTGTCATGGGTAATACTAACCCCAGAGAGCATGGCACCAACCACACATGATTTGGGGGTCAGTAGAACCACCACTAACTTTCTGTCTGTCAATCAATCCTTTTTGTGTGCCACTAGTTCTAAAAACCCAGTTGGCTTTTTTAGCTTCTTTGCCTTTTAAAAGATACACAAGATAGTTCTGAAGGTTTTTCTGTTCTCAGAGATTTACAGAAAGAGAGAAAAGTGTAGAAGGTTATAGTGTGTGAATCCTGCCATTTAGATTATAGAAATATTTTTGTAATCAAAAATATCCTTGCCAGAAACAGTTCCTTGGTATTTAGAAATCCTTTGCTAAACAAAGTAAAAACGAATGATAAACAAAATCAAGTTTCCTTTGAGCCTGATGTTCTTGCAGCTGCACTCCACTTTTAAGAGAAACTCATTAGCAATTAATTTAGAATGACACTGGCAAGCAGTCCCCAGACTTTAATTAATATCTTTTTGACAAGCTCGTAATCTTTCTGGTTAATAAACTCTCTCTTAAATTAGTTTAACTCTGATTTCACTTACCATTGTAAACAGTTGTCATCAAATCTAGGGTACTTTACAGAACTTTTTCATTTAAAATACTTCTAAAAAGAGAATTTATAGTTGCATTTTACAGAGTAGAACCCACAACTGACAAAGGTCACCCTCAATCCGCAGGCAGAGCTGGAAGGAAAATCTCGGTTCCTGAATACCCTTCTATTGTTCAATTGATTATGCAACGATAATGTCTCCTGTCTCAGTATCTTGCAAGGAAAGAGTTAAATTCTGATTCCATGTTACATAACTGATTATTTATGCCAGTGTCAAGATCTTAGACAGTTACAGTACAATATTTTAACTATAGTACAGTGAAGTATTGTCTGTAAATGTTACTTCAATAATAAATATCAGTATAGGACAATCTAGAGGTTAAGTTTTCATTTAAACTTGTGCTCTCAGTATATGTGTCTTATATGTGCCTTTAAAGCTTTGTGTCAGTTTTGCCTGTCTGTCTCAAATACAGAACTGACATACATGACAACTTTATGCAGCCACATTACTGTGTTCTGCAGAATAAGAGAGAATACTGTAAATTGGAAAAGATGTTGAGACAAAATCTCCTTTGACCTCTGGGTAAGTTAACAACTTTTATATAAATATTATGAAACATGCTATATGTGTGCCTGTTGCATATGTGTATTATGAGGAAAAAAAATATTTACTCACCTGAAACCATTTTTTTATGTAGATGCTGTAGTGAAGTAATTTTTGATATGTAAGACTGCATCAGTGTTTCTTTCCACTTTGCCTACAAAATAAACTGAGAGGTGCACAAGTTACTGTCAGGCTTTGAGTCTGGTAAGTCTTTTCAGGATTTAGAAAACTCCAGCTACTGTAGTGTAAGTCTTAAATTGATTACATCTACAAAGAAATTATATATTTTTATTTTAAAGCTAATTAATGCCTAGTATCCAACAGACAATTGTAAGAAATATCTGTCTAAGCATTGGATGACTCTACTGTAACGCACTGCCAGGGAAGATGGATGTAGGGTAATTTTTGAAGGTAAGTTTTGCCAAGTGATGATATAAAAGTTTTAATTTGGTGATTCACAGGAATGATTTGTTGTAATTTTTACTGCTCATGTAAGATGAAGAATGAGGTAAAATGGATATAAAAAAACAAGATTTGCTTATTAATCTCCTCTGTCTCCTCCGTCTTACATAAATGTAAAAGCCTAATTTAAAATTCTGTCTCATTAGCAAAAACTAAGATCATCAAGATGGCTGAGAAAGGTCAGGGATGTTATGCAACTTAATAGGGATCCTGAGACCAGAAGATATTTCACAATCTTGAGAAGTCATGAGCAGTCTGTCTCCGCTCCAGAGTATTTGTCTAGGACATGTAAAACTGAAAATAACATGACCCAAACACCTTCTAGAACAGTTTTAGTAGCAATAGGCATCAACTTGTACCATGAGCTTAGAATGCTAACTTTACACAAAGGAGCTACTTTAGGTTGCTTCTTTGTCTTTGTTTTTTCCTCTTCTTAAGTCAACACTGGGGGGGGGGGGGGGGGGGGCGGGGAACGACACAAAAGAAACTCTAAAAAACAAGACAGGTATTAGTGAGGAGAAGTGCAAAAGCATGTTTTAAACCAGTAGGATATTCCTCAGCTGAATTTCTACAGTTTTTTCTTAAGTGCCTGCTTGCCTATGTCAGTATCAGCATGCTGAACTAGAGGCCTTATTGCTGTGACAGTTCCTGTGTTTCTGTGGCAATGATAATTTCGTTCCAGAAGCCACAAATTAGAAAATGGTTTCTCACAGTGAAACACCAAACGAAACACAACATGATCTTCCTCCTTTCTCATGCATGTTAACTGTAAAAAGTTTCTTTGTCTGGAATGTGGCTCTGATTACATTTCTCAATCCAAAAATAAACATGGTGCAAAAGGAAAGGATATGGGGGGGGGGGAAATGCTGTCAATGGGCCACCCTCAGGAAAACCTCACAAGATCTACTCTCTGTCTGTGCAAGCCATGGAAGAGCTAAGGAAGTGATCCCAGCTTGGTGGTCTTATTTTTAATTAAAACAAATGAGGCTCTTTCAGCTGCTGCAGATAAATATTTGATGAAAAGAGACAGGGACAGATGTCAAAAAAATGTAGTAAATAAAGAATAAGACCAGAAGAGCAAATGTTACAGCATTTTATATATAGTATTAAAAAAAAAAAAAAAAAAAGAAAAGAAAAAAAAGAAGAAAAACAGAACAAACCCAACTTTACAGATTTCTGTCAAAGGCCTAATTTTACTAAGATCATTCCAAAAGCGGGAAGACCAATTCTTCATACTCTTTCTGACAAGGTAGAATGAAAATACAAATGCATATAGATAAAGAAACGTTTTTAAGTCAACATGCTGCAGATTTTGTGCTTTAAACAAGCCTTCAGAGTCATTTCCATACTTCCATAACAGTTGGTATTAGTTTGACTAGTAGTTTTGCTCCAAAATACATGTTAAGGATGCACAGTGAGAAGGTATCTAGCAACATGTATTAGCAACATTTTCATTGCAATAATGTGTCATAACATTCATAAGTCTTGTCCGTTGTGAATGGTTAATTTTTAAGAGTGAACAAGATGACCTGCAAAGGTCCTTTCCCTCTTCAGTAACTCTGTGACTTGATAGCACTGGGTCCGGATTTAGCTCACCTTTTAGCAAATTCAGTTATAGCGTTCTGTGAAAAAAAAATAATTATTTAATGTAATTAACTTAAGAATAGGCCATAAAAGAAAAACGAGTCATGAAATAGAGGAAGAATCTCAGTAGCTGGCTCTTTCAAGATGAACATCTTTATTGTTAGCATTATATTGGCATTGCCTGCTAGTTTAAGGTCTGATGTTGCCATTCCTGGGTAAAATGTATATTTCCATTGAGTCCAATGTGTATTATACATCTGAATGTGAAAAAATAATTTCATAAGTAGACCTTACAAAACTGTACAGTGAGTGATGAACCACAGAAGTTTCAATGGAAATATTTAATGTGACACCAATATTTAAAAACAGCACAGTGATTCAGGTCATCAGGAGCAGGATAAATTTGTATAATACAAATTCTGAAAATAGTTATGAATTAATGTAGTTCTGAAATACATACCTGTCTCTGAAGATGGTTAAGAAGAAAAAGTGAAAAGTTGATTGACTGCAGTGCTTAAGGATCTACATGGAGATACTATAGAGCTATGGAGTCCAACAGTAGGCACAGGTGAAAGCAGAGAAACATCTGGTGACATCGAACGTAAGGTAAATAAATTCAGGTGAGAGATGAGGAACAAATTTTAAACACTGAGGAGAAGTAACCTTAGATTGCAGTGAACTTTCCATATTTGGAGGTAGATAAATCAACCTACAATTGTAATGACTAGGTATATATCACATGGCAAACTTGTGCATACAGCAAACTTTCTGATAAAGTTCTAAGTCCAACTCCATTTAAGTCAATTACAAACCCCAGCAGCTTTGAATAGATGCTGAGTGAGGCTGAAGGTGAGAATCAACTCTGAGAACAATCAACTTAATACCCAGTTAGGACAGAAAAAATGTGAGAGGATTCTTTATGAGTGGTGCATGGGTTAGGAATTCACAAAGAATGAGTTGCAAGTATCTCTGAACACTTTAAGGGACCCTTGCAGAGGCTGATGGCATTGGGCAAGGTCAGCATTCCCCCAGTTAGCATGGCATTACCATACCCAGCTGAGAACTTAAATGGAACCTGACAGCAGCTACCCTCTTTATTTAGTCTCAGGCTACCTATGGGCTGTCAACATAAGATGCAGACAAACTGTTGTACAAACACAGAATTTACTGGCTGATAAAGCAATAAATAAAACATGTAGACAGAGGAGCCAGCGTTACTTCTGTTTTCTAAACAAGTGTAAGGACTACAAAATGTACAATGCCAAATCTATGGCATGTCCAGTGCAAGACATGAGAGAGGCAGGAAATTGGTGCACATGCTACTTCTGTATGTCTAAAGCTGGCTGCAGGTTAAATATGATTTAGCATCAGATCAAGAGTGTCTGCACTAGATTCACATGCAGCAGTTGTAGATAAACACTCAAAATACCCACACACGAGTTCTGTGCTGCTGGAGCTATGTCCAAGCAGTATTGTCGTTTACACAGGCAGAAACTGAGCAACTTTTCTAAGGAACTTCCTTTCTATTTTTCAGCATGCAGAGGAAATAGATCCAAGATGTGTTTGGTGTTCCTAATCATCAGTGATGTGCTATGTAGAGATCCACTTCTGGATCTCTACATGGACTTCTGCGCCCAGTAAAATACAGGCAGAGAAAAAAACAAATTCCTTCAATTCCTTGTTAAAAAAGGTAATGAGAAGGCCCCAGAATAATAATCACTCCTTCTTCTCCTTTACAGATGAGATTAAGGCAGACAGAAATTAAAGGACTCACCAAGACTTTGCCACACAGTCAGGATTTAAACTCAGAACTTCAGAATCCAGCCCCAGTGCCTGAACCACACATTCCTTTGCTTTTCTGTATTTCCCCACAGTCTTAGGCCATGTGGCCACTATTGGTGAAATGAAAAACAGGTGCAGATCCATGAACAGATGGGAGCCCAGCCCTGGCTGATCTCTGGAGGATAATACAGTGTTGTTTTCCGGCAAAGGACTCCAGAGAACCACAGAAGCAGCCCTAAAACTGAAGCTGCTCTGCCTCACACTAAATGTTATCTCCGTGAGCCCAGCAAGAGGGAGTTTTGAGGCATGGTCTGTTTGTCAGCAAGGACACTGCCTTACTGACCTCTCAGGCTGTCAGTATTGACATCTCTGATTTTCAGGCATTCCTATAAAGGTTGTAGAAGAATAATCGCAATCCCATTCTTTGCAGTAACAGCAGCCAATGTTTCTAAGTTGCTGAAACATAAAATTTCTTCCCTTGAGTAGACAACTTTGGAATGTCTAACCCTCAAAAAATGCCATTAGTCATATGCAGAATCTTTCTCTGGGAAAATTGGTAGTGGTATGGGACAAGTCAGCCAGGTAAGATGAATAATGTATTTGTTATGGATCTGTAAGGATAGATCTACTTTTAATTTCCAGTTCATGGAGAGCTGATGGCTTACTCCACAATATGTGGTTAAGCAAAGAATTTGGACTGCTTTCTCACTGGGAGAGAGATGGTTAAGTAACTAGTAGGGTAATTGCCTGATCCTAAGTGCAGGATGGAGTGCCAGGATGCAAAGTACTTCCCTGGCTTATGTGACCCACAGTTATAGTCCCTGCAGTGGTACAAGACATATTTTCCCTCCATGTGTCACCTGACACATCAGCCAGAAGTATTAGAGAAGACATTGTGATCTTCAGTTTCCTCAGATCCACAGAGCACGTATCAAACCCAAAAGGATAACACATGCAAGAGGACAGGGTATGTTTCATGGAATCATAGGATAGTTTGGGTTAGAAAGGACCTTTAAAGATCATCTAGTCCAACCCCCTGCAGTGAGCAGGGATATGTTTTAGATCAGGTTACTCACAGCCCCATCCAACCTGGACTTGAACAATGTCAGCAGTGGAGCACCCACAGCTTCTCTGGGCAACCAGTGCCAGTATTTCTTCAGTGTGCATGTCCACTCGTGCCAAGAAAATCTAGTAAGACCTGATTGCTTCCTTAGATTCCATTTAAATTGGGGCCACAAAACCTGATTTGCAACAGTAGGCCAAAGCCACACTGCTAACAACATGTATTCTGCTCATGCTAAACAGTAAATTGTTTGGGAAAATCTATTTTATCCCAGTTTTAAGCAGGTTTTGAAGGAAAGCATTCTCCACAGATGACACTAATAGGCCTTCAATTAATTTAGCAGCAAAGACCACCCAGGACACTGGGAATCTCAAACTGCTTGGCCTCAGTTTCTCTGATTCATTCTTCTCAGCTTCATGTGTGCTCTTTGAGAGACAAAAAATAGCATTTCCTTAATTTTGAACTTCGATTTCTCTTCCAGCCGAACATTCGTGAAAGCAGCTGGTCCCAGAGGTGGAACATTCCAAAACCCTGTTTGGAGCCAAGTGAATACGTTAAGGAGTCAGTCGTGACACCACTTTATAGAGAACAGACAATGAGTTTTGGATCTCGTAAGTACCTTTCATCCCTGCAAATAAGTTCCCTTCCCCCATTCTTTTGGAAACATCTCAGTCTGTATTGGAAACAGAGGATGTAATTTATTTTTATCGCCTTCCCTGTCGAACTGGCCAACTGCCACAGGGTTCTGCTTTCAGATGTAGCAAGAGGCAGGAGAATCACAGTGACAAACCATTCATTTCAGTGGCTCCTCCTGTTTCCTTATCTTATTTAGAGGCTGCCTACTGTGCTCCCTTATCACTCTTTCTAATCCTGCAAAACTTCTCTGCAACTTGGCCCCTCCACAGAAAAAGCTGACCTGCTTAGACCTCTCTGCTTCTCTACTCCTGTTCCCTTCCTCACAGAGCAAGTTGTTCCTTCCTTTGTTACTTTAGAACTCCTTTTTCAATTCCTATCTTAGTCCCTCTCTCCTCCTTTTCCTAGTTCCTATTGCATTACATTTCCTAGCTGAATGCACATACAGCTGTGTGGCCTCCTTCAGGTATGCTTAATTTCTCACTGTTCAGCCTGCCCTTTGATGTCTGCTGAAGAAGGATACATCTTCTTTTCCATCTCTTCACATGTGCCTATTAATTACTCTCTTCAGAGAGACTGTTTACTGACTATCACTCTGTTTATAGTTGAATACAGCTAAACATTTGGTCTTCACAGTTCTCCTTCTTATACACCACCCACCCAGTTTCTTCCCAATTGTTGCAGAATAGATGTCTCCAAATCACTTTATAAAGTCACAGATGCATTGTACTTGCATTCCCACACCCAGCCTCCTGCTCTCAAGCACTGTTTTTGCTTCACTTACAGAGTTGTAAAGAAAGACTTTGCATTGGTAATTTTGTCTCTAGTTCTCTAATAAAAAAGAAGCAGTGAGGATTAACATCTTGCCCTTTCTGTTGCACATATTCCTACCTTGGGCACTGCAGAGAACCCTGAAAGCTCTGTAAGCATCAGACTTCTGACCTGTGAAGAAATAATACGAACTCAATATCAAGTACAGAAGAATGTCCACTGAAGTTAGGAGGGTTATCCTATGCATAAATTGTGCATATGTCTTTGTGTGACCAGGAACCTTGGGCAGGGGGAATTTTAATATGCTGGGGAAGGATAAAAATTACTCTAGCAAATGCGCAGAAGAGAAGAATTATATGGTTATAATGCAGCAATTGAGATCTAAGATGAAAATTCCTTCAGATGTCCTTCTCATTCCATATGGAGCTTAAAATATTACAAAATAATATGAAATAAATGTAAAACAAATGTGGACTAAATTATGTTTTTTCCAAAGAAGAGATTATTGTCAATCACAGAACCATAGACTGGTTTCAGTCAGAAGGGACTTTAGAGCTCATGTAGCTACAACCCGCTGCCATGGGGGAGGGACACCTTCCACTAGACCAGGTTGCTCCAAGCCCCATGCATCCTGGCCTTGAACACTGCCAGGGATGGGGCAGCCACAGCTTCTCTGGGCAACCTGTGCCAGCACCTCATAGAGAAGAATCTCATCCTATCTAATCTAGATCTACCCTCTTCTAGTTTAAAGCCATTACCCCTTGTCCTATCAGGAATGCTCCTTTAACTGAAAATTGCCTAAAAAAATCTATCAGTTTAATAAGCGTATGTTCAGTATAGGCTTATTAGATTTGAGTTGAATGAGGCTTCCCATGTTAATTACTCCCTCAAGGTGAGTGTAATGCTGCATGCCAGAACTGAGAAGGACAACTTGCTCTCTGTTCTCCTGCCCCCATTGCTCTCTTCTGCATCCTGAGGAGGGTCAACTGCTGCTGTACCTAAATGAAGGAGCCCCAACACTGGGCCTGGAAGCCTGAAGGGCTAGGACTGGACCTAGAGCTGGAAGCCTGAAGGGATAACTCCTCAGTGATGGCCAAGGAGCCAGGCAAGAAGAGGCACAGGTAAGGGAGGCAGAAGTGTCTCTGATGTTTACTTATGGATGCTGGAAGGAACCTTGCATTGTTGAATCTCACCAATGATCTTCACACTGGAGCAGTAAATGGGCATCACAATAACCATGTTACTAGTTAAATAGCAGAGGCATGTACCTAGAAATGACAAATTTTATGCTTGCTTATAATTGATACAGTTTGGAGACCATATCTTATGCTACAGAAGCTGGGGGTGGGGTGAGGGCAGGGACAAGGGAGGAAAGAAGTCCAGGAAGACCCGTGGAAGCACGTGCAGACAGCTCAGTTTACATGGCCTGCCAGTCGAAAAGTCAACAGTTACAGAAATGCAGAATTGACCGGTGAGTGGCTGTGGTTATTTTTCATCAGTTATCATGGATATGCAAAATAGCCACACCAGAAAAATAGACAGCAAAGCTTAACAGACACATACCATTTTTGGTTTCATTCACGCTCTTTTCCCTGATACCCCTGATATTCCTTTAAATGCAGAATCTGTATTTATATCCAAAAAACTTTTATAAGGAGAGCTTTATTGACACATTTGTTATACTTCTATATAACATGATAATGACAACCAGCTGGCTACATCTAATGGCAGGCACTAATTCATATTGGGTTACTACCTTCATGTTCTGCAGGCTGTCACTTTCTTCCTGCCATTTTTAGCATTCTTGCCCTCTTGTACTTGCCTTTTATGATGCTCATGTTTACTATTCTTGCATGCTAGGAAAAGAATGAGCATTTTAAAAGCTTTATGTTTAATTATACTTGCAGCTATTACTTAGTCACATAAACAAATTAAATGGACATTTAATTAAATGTTACCCTTTTAAAAGGGTAAACTGGAAGCACAGCCTATTGACTGAACACTGATATTGCATGCATTTATCTTAATTAGTCAGGTAGCATTAGGGATTAACATACTTTAGCTGTTATGTCCATAATCAAATACATTAGCATTTATGTCTTTGTAGCATACAGAAGATCAGTTAAGATGTGAGCTCTCTCCTGCTGGGTACTGTACAAACAGAACTGAAAGACCTCCTTCCTAAGTCACCTTTAAAAGAAAATACTGCAAAACCCTCTCCAGCTTTTGCAGGTGTGAACTGACCATTCTGATGACAATTCAAACCCTGATCCAAAAATTTCCCCCACCTTATCATTTTGTATTTATATATAGGAGAATTCTCTCCTATAAAGCAAGTTTTCAGTGTTTTGAGATGGGGATTTTTCATTCATAGAATCATGGAATAGTTAGGGTTGGAAAGGACCTGAAGATCACCAAGTTCCAACCTCCCTGCCATGGGCAGGAATGCCTCGCACTAAACCATGTCACCCAAGGCTCTATCTAGCCTGGCCTTGAACACTGCCAGGGATGGAGCATTCACAACTTCCTTGAGCAACCCATTTCAGTGCCTCCCCACCCTCACAGTAAAGAATTTCTTCCTTACACCTAATCTAAACTTCCCCTGTTTAAGTTTGAACCTGTTACCCCTCATTCTACAGTCCCTAATTCCATTTAGCACATTGAGGTTCTAGTCTGAGTGAAGGATGGGGCTACAGTAAATACCAAGCCCAAATGCTTCAAAGACCTCATCTGATTTTGTAAGCAGTTATTTCAGAGGTCAGAGAAAATCCTTTGGGAGTAGTCTGGAGCAGCGAATCTGGTTGTACAGCAAACAATGGACTATTTAGTGTCTTTCCAACACAGAAACTAGGGCTACTGATTAATTCCACTTCTGTGATAAGATAATGCTTCTGGTCATCTCATTTATGGATTAAAATGCAAAGTAATGAATACTCCTCGGATACCTCATTCTACAGGTGAGTTTATAACCTCATGTTTGGGGAACTTATTTTTATAGTGATTGTTACAGACTCATTCATGTTCATGAAATTTCTTTAGCTGTGTTTGGATCTGTAAGACTAACCTCCAATTCCACCAAAAGTATTTATTTTTCCTTTTTGCATACTGGATAGTGAAGGTGTGCATTTAATGCAACACTGTGTGTCAGAACTTCCATGGGCATAAGGAACCACTTAATTTACTTACATAAGTAAGTAATCTAGCAAACTAGTGAAACAGCCTGTTCTGGCATTTCCAAGAGCTTTCCTTAGTCACTAAAATACAGTGGAGGGGGGTCAGAAAAAGCCTCAGCACAAAAATAAGAAAGTAGGGCCTCAAATCCACATTACTACAATAGCAACACACTGTAGTTCATTTTGTACAAGAGTTTGGTATCATGTCCATTTACTTTGAATAATTTCCTCCTGGATTTTTATCTTTTCTAAGAGCTGAATTGTTCAGTTTTCCAAAACAAACATAACTTACCATGTTGTTCAGAGGTTTGGTGGAAAGAGATCTCCAGCTATAGGACCTGCATAGGTTTCTTGTGCTTTTCAGAAGTCCAGGACTAGCAGTAGTCTGTGTTTAACATAGACTGAATTTTGAATTATATTGTAAATTGCTTTCTCATCTGTTCCATCCCACTTGGCAGCAGTTACTCTTCTGATACAGTTTATATTTACTTCCTTTGTCTCTCTATATTTAGGTAACACTGTTAAAAATACGGTGGATCTCTCCTGAAAATGAAGCAACTGTGGTATTCTTGTTTCTCTAGTTTACCTGAAATGACCAGAATTCCAAATATTTAACTTAGCCATTGACCTTAATGGATCTGCCCTTCATCAGTTATGATCATCATTATGAAAGAGATTTTTATCTCACTTGGTATTTGGTATAATTTTTTTAGGACTATTTTTTAATCAGTTTTTATTTAACAGATGTGACTAATCGTATCAGAACATTTGAAAAACCAGGAGAGAATTGAAAGTGCCCAGATGATTTGCAGTTTCAGAGCCTAAGGCCACTTGATCAGACCAATACAAACAATCCCAGAGGACTGCAAACAGCTTGACTGTCATATTGAACATGCACATGCAGTTGCTTGCGGTATCAGTTGAATAGTATGTTTGTGTTTTAACCAGGAAGTAAACTCACAGTATTTTGCAATGGCCTCCAGGTTGACAGTGGGATTAACTTCAGGAAAACCAATGATGGTTGATCAGTACAAACCACCACCCAAACATGGCACCTGACTTATCTGCATTTTACAGCAGGAGCTGGAAGGGAAAAGAAAGGATTGTGGCAGTCTCCTATTAGCACCATTGTCCCCCTTCCTGGAAAACTTTTCCCTCGCTCTGCTGGTGAGCAGCAGAAAGGCAGGACCTGGGGCTGTGCCTGTCACCGAGGATGCAACCCTCCATCCCTGCGTTCGGGATGCCCTGTAACCAGGGCAGCCCTACTGTGGCTCTCACCTCTGGCCACATCTTGTATAGATGCAGGAAGGTGTCAGCTTGCTTTCTCACTCCTACTGAGCTTTCTGGAACCCCACTGTTGAAGTGCTGCCAGGCTTCCAAATTGGGACAAAGTATCTCTTCCTTCTACAGGACATTTTCGTATCCACAGGTTAGGTATACTAGGAAGCATAAGGTATTAATGTTACAAAGAAAAAGCAGTTTACCATCCAGATTGTCTTTTACATGTTGGTTTTGGTCTGCTATGATTTCCAGATGCTAATGGGGAAAATGTTGACTCATTCTTGGAACAATGTTAACTCGGACATAAAGAACTCACAATCTTCTTTTTAACATCATTTACTCAGTGCTGGAGGCAAAAAAGATTAAGTCCATTTTAAGCCTCTCCCAATGCTTTAGATTTAGAGGAAAGCTTTCCTACAATAATCCAAATGCTCATTCTAGCAGAATTGTGTTTCTCAAAGGTACTGAAGAACTTGTGATCAGAAAGTGTATGCAAACGGGACAGCAGAAGTATGGTAAATATAAAGAAGAGGAAATGTCATTTTTACTCTCTTGAAGTGACAAATTTGTAGTAGGTCTCATTCAGAAATGGGGAGAGGAGCGATGATGGATACTCAAAGGCTGGATCTGCTATTACTACTGAAGTTACAAGGGAGAATGTGTGCTAGGGAAGGCAGCAGGGCACCTCAGCACCTCTTCCACAGCTTACTAAAGACGTATTAAAAGACATACTTAGAAAGTTGAGGCTCACCTCCTGTATTTGGCCAGACCTCATTAGATTTGCCAGTGGTTAAAAGTGCTAGCTTATCAGAAGAACTTGCCTGTATAGGTATGCTGACAATGTCATGGTGTAAACCAGATCTCAAGATGATAATTGGATTTTTTAAGGTTACAAAGGACAGTATCAAGAGTTGGAAAATACGCAGTACACAGCAGCCATGCCGACATACACCACATTCAGTTAAACATCATAACTTTGTATGTACAGTATCTATTTGCTTGTCTTTGATGTGC